GGGGGTGTGGTGGTGTAAATGACCTCCCAGGCTGTTAAAATTACAGTGTTTGCTGTACCCATGTTGAGGAGGTCGCTGTGTCTGTTACAACTGTGACAAAAAGACTATTACGCCAGGCAAAGGCTCTCATTTGCGAAAAGCTAAAGATGTTTAGTTACGATGGGATATCGCCGAAATTTATCTCTAATGTAGACAAGAACTACAAGTTCTTTTTCTTCAATTTTGCTAGCGAGAAAAAGCAAATGGAGCAGAAAATGGGAAGATTAAAAAGTATACATATCCAAAGAATCTGGAGAAAAGAAAACAAAACGGAAAATTTTGGCCAGTTTCCCAGGCCTTACCTTCTGGCTCATTTTTGATGAGCTCTTCCATTTTTCTTTGCTTAAGGGTGTCTACAACATCCGCTAGGCTCCCTTTGCGCCTTTCAGGGGTTCCCAGGGCTGTGCTGGACAATGACTCTCCACTCTGACGCCCACCTTCTTCTGCCTTCAAGGGTGAGGTAGATGAGTTGTGCGGGGCAAATGAAGACATCACTTTATTGCCATCAACTTCCTGAAAGGGGATAAAAACAAGATGAAACATGTCTTTCTTTTCTTAAAGCAGGAAAAAAATAAAGATGGAAAGAAAGAACAATCCTTTGTTCTTTGAGTTCATTGCTGTTTGTTCTTCTGTTGAAACCTTTAAAAAGGCATGCAATGCTTCAAAAACACCCAGAACAAAGCCTATCCATAAAGCATAAGCCAAGATTACAGGCTGAAGTGAACAAAGATCAACTTGCAAGAGAGAAACATAAAATACAGTTTTTCCCTAATTGAGAAGAAGTGTTCTACTCATAGGTTTCTTAATAACAATGGTATTGACTACTTTTAATTGTTTGTTCTTTTACGGTTTTCTTTAAAAAAAAACCAAAAACCTTCAATTTTTACAAGGACCATTAATTTCCTAACTTTATAAAGTACTTAATGCCTTGATGTCTGGCTAGTTGTTGTAAGAAATGAAATAGTAACCAAATATTAAATGCCCTTCACTATATGACTTATTTTAACTCACAGTTCAAGTATTTGTCCCATCTATAAAGGATGAAGTAATCCATTTTCTGTTTTCTAATTCTCTTTCTATTCTCCTCTTCCATCTCATACCTTCATTTCTTGTAGAGACAATAGCTTTCACAAAGGTGGTCCTAATGACTTTCACTGGCAGCACAATGGCAAAAACTCTGTGACTTCCTAGGACATACACACAATCCTTCTCACGTGAGAGTCCACAGAGGTCTACTCATTAATTTTAATGGAAACCAAAACTGGTTCCAGCATCTTCAAACTTGCCTTCATTAATGTGAGAGCCTTCTCCTCCACGCCTCCTCCAACATAAAGCAATGTTGTCTGCATATATTCCTTTCCCCTTTTATGTCTCTTTTATACCCTACGCTTCTGCACATATCTCTGAAACCTTTTTTTTTTTCCTCTGCTAACGTATGCCATCTGTATCTTGCAAAACTTAGGTCAACGTCTCCGAACAAAGCTTTCTGCAGAGTACACGGACTGTATAATATAATGCTGCAAACATGAACAGTTTTTATTTTGATCAGATTCACCAGAGTTGTTTTTTTTTTTCCTTTTTCATTATCCTGTTCCCTTACATTTTTGCATTCCAGGTGTTTAATGAATATTATTTCTAAAAAAGTCACTGGACCAGCTTGTGATCTGAGTTACAGACTTGGTTGAAACAGTCTTAATAATTTTTAAGTTGTATGAAAGTGACATATATGCTGTTTTTAGTTACTTGTGTTACAATTTTATCATTTTTTTCCCTGAGTAGTTTTTGTTGTCTCTGGTTTAATAAGCCCCAATATTTCAGAAAAAAAAAAAAAAAAGTTGTCTTTTCATAAACAGAACATAAATTGCTAAAAATTATCTCAATAAAAATTTGAATAAAGCACCACGGAAGTTATGAAGCAAAGAATGCATTTGTTTTCACAGACTACTATGTTTTTTGGCAAAGAGATTACCTTTGGATAAGAAAACTTTTAGTGCAAACAGTTGTGAGCCGCTTGAATGTCTTGTACTAGTGAATAAATTCCCTAACAGAATCGGATTTAACCGAGATTACAATCTGGGCCATCATATGCCCCAAAAGCCAAACCCAGTCATGTTAATGAGAGACTTTCTACTGACGTCAATGAGCTTTTGACCAAGCCCTAAAAAAATCTTCCGACTCTAGTCAACAGAAATGCTCCTTTTTTTTTTCCTTGCAGCTCCCTACATTTTTGTTCTGCACTTGGAAAATTACTAGTTGCTAACAGTGGACTCAAAAAATGAGTTGAAGCCGAATGTCTTCCACCCCCATCCCCATATATAAACTGGTTTATCTAGATGAGCAAAATAGTTAACTTCAGCATCAGTTCAGATTTTATCTAACATTCAAACCCATTATCACCAAGTGGCATTTTTTTTCCTATAGACAAGGCCGAAAGAGGAAATATCTTGAAAGCTGCTTTCTTATTCACACTTTGAAGACAGATAAGCCAAATACCACCCTTAGTTACGGTTTACCATCAATTACATATAGGAACAGTATCGTTCCTAATTTTACTAGGAACTAGTTTCTTGTTTCTATTCCAGAGTGTTTCTGTGTATGTTGCACATCAGTCACAGACACAAAGGACTTGTAACAACTGCCTTAACTTCAGGAATCATCATTGCTGTTTCCATGTATGTTATGGGTATATGCAAAGGTATATGCAATATATAAATGTATTTACATGTAAATGTAAATACATTTATATGTACAAATGTATTCTGAGTGTAAATCAGACTTGTTATAAGAGAAGCAGCATTAAGAACACAAGGATTGAATGATATGCAAAGTAATATAAGGTGATTTTCAAAATTATAAATTACTTGGCATTCAAATGGAACCCACAAGTATTTTCAAAACTACTAACATCTCCCTGCCTTTTTTTCTGGGGAAAAGGAATTGTTAGGGGGAGAGGACAAGAGAGTAGTTCCTGGGTAAAGGATCATGAAAGGACCCTGGATACTCAACTCCTAGTTCTTTCAAATGTTCTGTGTAACCATGAAAAAAGTCACTTTTGTTTTGGCATTCCCACCTGTAAAATAGGCACAAAAGAAGTAATTTCTTATATTGTAAAGGTCTTGGAACAGTAAAATCATAAATAACACAGAGATGGCCTGCTACTACAATGTGGGCTAAAAGCATCTATATTGTACCACAGTGAAGACGACTTCATAGCTAGATAAAAAAGGAAAGGGAAGAGTTCTACATGGATCTTTAAAAAAGATAAATTGTATATTAAATATACATCTAAGGAATCATCCCCAAAACAAAACATTTCCTGAGACTGCTTGTTAGGTGTACATGTATGCAGTGTTTGCATATCACATACACAGGCTATTTATACACTTGTGGGGTTTAAGATACACTCCACTTAATCAGGACACATATACAGTAGGGGAACAGCTGCAATCACATCTCAGTGGGCTAAATTACAGTACACCAGTGAATTATTCATTCAAAAAGATCTGTAGCAATCACACATTCATTGCGTGATTTGCAATCTAAGAGGAATCCTCTCCTTTCCATACCAGCAGATGAGCACACACATCAGCTACTGCCGTTGATGAGAGTTCAACATGTATCCTCTCGCACACCAGCTTGAGAATCTGTCCTCCCCACTTGTCCGTGATCTTTTTATTCTGTCATTTAGAACAACAACCTGAAATACTCGACTGTTATCTTGGCTTTCACTTTATGTCCCTCTGTTTTATTTTGGTCTTTCTTATGCTATTACCAGCGAAAGTGAAAAAGAACTTTCAATAGTTCTGGATTTTTACCTTTACCATGTAAAAAGAAAGGATACTTCCACATAAAACCTACTCATGTAAATTGATGTATAAAGCTAAAAAACTTCCAGCAAGGAAAATCCTCTGATATCACACATGAGAGTTTAACTATCTCCCCCAAAAACACTTAAGAGAAATCTTTAATGGCAAGAAAGATACGTCACCAACAGTTTAAAATTAATCCCCTGAGAAGGAAGTTCCCTCCCAACGAGTGAGAAATCTCAGGTTCTTTTTTTTTTGAAAGGACATATTCACATGACTTTTTGCAGTTAACTGATATAAAAGCAACAACGCTGTAAAGAGTGGTGTTAAAGAACCTAAATATCTACTATTGATATTTTAAAATGAAGTCCATCAAGCCACACACAAGACCTACCTCTCAGTCACCAGAACAGTAGAAAAGAAGACACAGTTTTACCGGAGAACAGTCTCTCCCAGCTGCATAACCATTTCACCTGTTCAAGTTTGATTACATTCCAGCCTCTGGCACTGTTAATCCTGGTAACAGTTTTATGCAGTTAGCAGCTGCTTCGTGGATGGGGCTCTATTGTTCATTTGCATTGTGAATTGCTCTGCTAATGTCTGCTGGCACAACATTTCTTCCAACTCTGAGCTGGGTTTGTACTCACCAACACCTGATGCTGCTGTTTCTTGCTATTCCCACTTCGGAAAGGCAGACAAGGACCTACACAGATCCCACTCAATCAAACACCCTAGGCCCTTCTTTCCCCTCCAACAACAACAACAAAAGAAAGGACTGGCCCACGTTTTGCGTCTTCTGGTTCTGTTCCCAGCTAGAATCCGCAGGAAGACTTGTTCATTTACAAGAAATGCCTCTATATTGCCAAAGAGCTTTCCACCTATGGAGGAAATACCTCTTCCAAGGTTTAATGATAAAACAGGCTTCTGCCCTTTCAGGATGAGGTCAATAATCTTCCTTTGTTAATCTTGGGCAAGCTTTACTTAATCTAGCCCCCTTGTCACCTTTGTGATTGACAGGAAAAGTCATGTCACTGGACAATGGACTTATCCTCACTGAGCAGTATCTTTTTTAAAGATTACACAACGTTACCCTTGCTCTCATAAAAAGTGCAAACATTTTGCTGTTAAAAGAAACTATTCGTTCCAACTGTATCTTTCAAATTCTCTCTGCTTCCAGGGTCCAACCGAGGCCTATTTCAGTTCTACAGAAGGACAGTGAAAGGCTTAATGAAAAGAAACAGAGTTATTTTGGAAATCTCACCAAGTACAACCTAAGTGCTCTAAATAGATCTCATCTTCTCCTTCCTCATCTAGAGATGTACATTATTCCTGTCTCCAATTAGACAGAAAACTCTGTTTCTGTGACATTAAAATTTTGTCCCAACCCAATCCATAATCGAACAGAAGAAAACTCAGAACTAAGTCTGAAACTGTTAATTACCACCATATGGTATGCAAGGTGGCTGCATCTGCAGCAAAAAAACCCCAAACAAAGCTATTATGAGTATCAAGCTTTTGGCTTTGCAGCTAAAAACACCTGGAATAAAATACTTGTGTCTTTAAAACAAGCACTGATATTGTCTGATTTTAAGATGCCTGTAATCCTAAAAGCAAACTAACAGGTTCTGTTTTCAAAGCTGGAGTTTTGCCCATACTTTGCTCTTTTAGAATGTGTAAAGAAGACGTGAAAGCAATTTTTTTTGCTCT